AGCTTAATGCATTTAGATGTTAAAGTCAATATTTTCACTTTGTAAAATGGAACCAGATACAGTGGCTGAATAGACAAAACATACTGTACCAGTGAAATGAAAAGTGAAGTGGAAAATGAATTTTGAGTATTATGTCGATATTGTAATGTAGAAAATAGTCATGAACAATTGTACTTTTTATATGCTGCTAGTCAACAAAGTACTACTATGTTTAACTGAAGCTCTCTTCCTGTTTCACTAGTTAACCCTAACCTGCATAGACCATGATTGCGTGCATTTTTAAAATGTGGCCTTATATTGCACATCAACCATTGTGCACTAGAGAACAGTTATTATGATTGTAAGAATATTTTGTCTGCCATTATTTAAAAAAAAAAACATGATTTGTTACTGCTTCTAAATGTATGTGCAATAATAAAGACCCCTATTTGTCTTTTTGGACACCACCTGGTTGCTCTTTTCCCACTTTGTAATACAATAACATAACCCAGTGGTCTTATGCCACTACATTTTATTTAATGTGTGATAATGTCAGATGGTCACATTCTAATAGGAAAAATATGCAAAATATACCCAGTCTATTTCATGTTTATTCTGTACTTCCCATAGGGTTGTGAGGGTTACAAGTATATCTCTGGCACAAAATAATTATCTCATTAAAATGGAAGCAAAGCAGTATCCCGTTTTAATGGCATATTTACATTATAAGAGGGGAAGTGCCATCTTATCTCCTAGAAATAATTATGTCATTATAGTCAGATACTCAACCACATTTTTCCTCAACACGGAATGAATATGCTTCTGCAAAGTTTTGTTTTTCCACATGTTCTGCATGCCATTAATATCCGTAAACCCACTGCAAAATTAAAACTGAATTGGAAGACAGAAGTTAGCAAACTACTTTGAATTGTTTTTGTTCTCTAAACAGAAAAAAAAATTGTACTTGATTTTTAAAGGTATAGAGATTAGTCTTCTGAAAATAACTTAAGGTTTAAGCCTTATTAAACCAACCGACAGTCCAAACTGGTTGCAAGTTATTTTTTACCTGGATTTGCAAAAGTCCCTTTATTATTGGAACCACTAGCTATTACACAATTTGAATAAAATAATTCAAATACTAATTAGTCTGTCTTAATCTGATTGGGGGTTAGTATTTTATCAATGTTTATACACTACATGCTTCTTTTGCAACCTAAAAAAAAACAATTTGGAAAACTTAATACAATTTTTAACTAATGTTTCCCTCTCTTAGGAATGCAATCCTACTAACTACCTAGTGTTTTTTAATGTTTTTTTTAGTGGTGCTACATTACAGAGATCTAATTTCAATGCATATCATTTTTAAACATACTGTATGATGTGACACTGGATTAGGAGCCTAGGTTCTGCTCAGTACTGCTCAATACTGCTGTAGACAGACACTTACACATGGCCGGTCTCGTGAGCCACAACAAAGGCAGAGGAAAAGCCGTCTTCATGATTCAGAGTGCAACTTCGCACAGGATGACACATACCTGTCACTGGAGCATATCCTACAATAAAAAACAGGTTCAGGTGATGAACTACTGTATGAGCATTTAAAGAACTTGATTTAAATGTTCTATTTAAGTCTGATTTTTTTAACTGCTAGATCTGTTCTCAAATCGTTTTTGGTAGATTATTGCGGAGACTCAATTTTGCCTTTTATACAGAATGTGTCTCCATTTGTGTGTGTCTGCCCTGCAATGGACTGGCATACCATCCAGGGTGTACTAGCCTTGCACTTGTTGCTTGCCAGGATAGGCTTCGGCTTCCCTGCAACCCTGAATTGGATGCAGTTAGAAAATGGATGGCTGGACATAGAAAATGTCTCACTGACATTTCTTTTACATCCTGAACTATTTCGTTCAACAATACATTAATATAACCCTAAAACAGAGACTCTTATCTGCTTTTGATTAATTATCAATTTCTCAAATTGAGCTACTAACAGGGCAATGTTATCTATACAAATGCCTTTACAAATGGTTTAAGTCGCACAATGGTCTAATAAATCTGCAGCACTTTTTAAGACACTCACAACTATATACAGTACACCCAAATGTCCATTTACAATCCTGTGGCATTGTGTATATTTACAGTACAAGGATGTAAATGGGGCTGTTGGTGGCTCTGTGGCTAAGGATCTGCGCCAGTGGCAGGAAAGTTGCCAGTTCATATCCCACGGCCGTCAACGAAATCCTACCCCGTTGGGCCCCTGAGGCAGGCCCTTAACCCCAACTGCTCCAGGAGTGCCATATAAATGGCTGACCCTGCGCTCTGACCCCAAGCTTCTCTCCCTGTCTGTGTGTCACAGAGAGCAAGTTGGGGTCTGTGAAAAGACACATTCCTAATGCAAGAAATTGTATTTGCAGGGGAGCTGCAAGCAACAGATGCAAGGCAAGATTGTAAATTTCCCATAAAGAACTGACCTACGGTATCAGTATATTTTTGGACTATGGGATGAAACCGGGGCACAATTTTAGATCTAAATTGTGACATTTTGACATACTGTAATTTCTATGCGCTTTTTAGGGGATATATAGTAGTTAAAGGATTTCAGATTCAATTTCATTCATTCTGCATACCAATGAGAAATATTTTTGCATTATTTTTTTCTTAAACTCAGATTACTCATAAATGGAAAACAGGTTGATATGTATTCTACAGTTTTCATTAATATTAAAATATTATTATTCGGAAAAATAAAATCAGAGGCACCACTGTTAGTTAAAAAAATCAAATAAAATCATCTGTCATTTGCAAAGACCTATCTGTTCTTACCTACCAATCTACACATACTCAAAAGCAAAAGAAACATATCACTTATCACTGAAAAAAAAAATCATAAAATTATTGGCAGGCATTATCTTTTGTGTAGCAGATACTTTACTCTCTGATTGAACAGAAATGACATAGGAAGATTCATTTAGATGATTTACATCGGTCTTATGGGATTTTGTTCCATTCCTCTGGCAGAGCCTGGATAAGCATTTTTATTCTAAAAACATACACACATCAATAGAGTGATAGGATTTTTTTATGTTCAGTATGTCAGAAAAATTACTTTTCTTACAAAGCTCTCTGGACCTGTGTCAGATTTAATTAAAACAAATGATTAAGTCAGTGAGGTGACTTGGCAATTAAAGCAAAACTGAAAACTATTACACAAAGCATGTTAACTAAACCTTTGTCATAAGACTTTCAAAACAATGTTATCATCCACGTCTTTCACTAATAAAGCATCAATTAAAATAGATTAGATTATGAAGAATGTTTTATTGCCACTGCAATCCAAGAAAAATCATGAATTTATTAATGTGACATAATTTTCCATTAGTTCTGTTTCATACAATGAACCACTGGTAACAGATGTCCTCATTTTGTCACTGTCAAATTTAATTGGTATTGTCAATGTATCAAAGACAACACCTGGAAGCAACAAAAAGAGAATTGTGCTTTTTTCTGTTGACACCTCAGAGCTCAGCCATGAGCACTAATGTTGTAATGTTTTGATTTATATAGCGATTAAAGCAAAATCACAATAATGTCATCAACTTGAAGAAGATACTAAATAAATAATTATTAAACGCTATTATATATTTTCAACTTGAATTCTTCAGGTGAAATGTTTCTTTATTCAATTTGAAAAATGTGTTTGTTTATTCAAATATGGCTTTGTTAATGTACTTTTGCTGCTATAAAGAGTTGTCCAGGAAAAATCCTGCCCTTACAACAATATTTTACACACAGTGTCTGTTGATTCTAGCACCAGGTTGAGATAACTGGGAAAAAGAAAAGCTGTTATGTTACCCAACACTGCCTAGAACTAATGCAGTCAGAACTATACATGATAGTATTCTTTGTTATAAAACAACTCTTCAGTGTTCATGTCATGTCATTTCAGCATTTTAGGTCCAGAGGTTATTAATCCACGATTAATTTGGGCAGAGGGGGTTTTGGACATTTACAGAAACAAAAACATTTGTTTCTCTTCAAACCCATCTTTCATGTCCCAGTGCTGGAGAGCATTAAACAGAATGCTAATTGCTCCACTGTAATTAGTCACTCAAGTATTTGGTGGCATATATGCTGCTTCAGTCACCCAGAGTTACTTAAGAAGATTACTGGAGGAAAAAAAACAAGGCCACAGAGTCAAATCCTAGTTCTTGCAGCATTAAGCATTAAATCAGAGAGCATATGACTCCCCTCAGGATGGAACACATCGCACAGCTACCCCCAGCAATTCTAACTCCCTTTTATACAGCTGGTTGAATTGGAGCAACTGGGGTTAAGTACCTCTCTCAAGGTACAACATCCATGTCTGCAGCAGGGACTTGACCCCACAACCTGTCAGGTATCGAGTCCAAAGACTGCAGAAAGCCACCCTCAAGGAAATGGAAATATATAAACGACTTCCCATTACTGTTTAAATCATGTTCCTTGTTGAAATATTTCAATGCTTCACACACAGCATTACTTTGTTTGACCATCCAAGATCCTGTCGCCCTCGAGTGACCACACCATAGCAGAACAGACACAAATTGGTCCATCTGAGAGATCATTTCTGATCTGCCAGCCGTACTGCTGCTGAAACTGCCAGCAGACATAATGCCCGCATCAGAGACAGGACAGTGGAGCTCCATGCTGGTGGCCTTAGAGCAAGACGACCTGACAGAGGCCCTCTGCTCACACCTCTGAGACGTCACACCTGTCTGTCTAGGGTCAGACAGAGGCTACAATAGACTCATCAGCAGTGGCATCAGGTCCTCTTCACGGATGAGTCACTCTTCAGCCTACTCCATGCAGACAGGAGGGCCAGAGTGTGGATTTGCGTTTGAATTTTGTTGCATTTCTTTTCTCCCCCCCATCAGTATATTATTAAAAGATTCTGATTTACACAGCACAGTGACATGGCACTGAATCCTTCTGCATCACAGCTCTTAGGTCTTAAGAGTCCATTCTGGACTGGGGTAACATCAATGCAGTTTGTATTTATCTTTCTTGTGTCCATGTGGGTCTTCTCCAGATGTTCCAGTATCCTCCAACAGAGATATGCTAACCAGGATAACTGGTATATCTAGATATAAGTGAGTAAGGGCATGTGTATGGGACTAATGATGGCTGGTATCCTGTCCAGGATGCAGCCCTATTTTGTGTCTGCCGGGTTAGACTCTGGCTCACTGCGACACTTTCGAGACATTTGCTCAAAAAGGATGGATGGATCCAAGGGATCTCAAAGTAAACTAATAAAAACATTTAATTGAATTGCTAGTTAGAGATGAGCATAAAAGAGGAAAAATAGTTTAACTATTTTTAATAAAAGTTAATAAAAGGGAATTTGTTGTTCTTGTTTTCAAAACTGATATAGTATGTTATTAGAAGCTTAAAATGCAACATCACAATACATCCTGAAAGTTTTATATCTCTGCAGTACAGTATGTATTTGTTGTTCTTCTCCTTGTCATCTGGTTTATTTTTTTTTTTATCCTGTTCCACTGGGTTTTTGTTTTTTGTATGAAACAACAAATCTGGAGGATTATTTCCAGTAACAGTAATTTGGGATAAGTCCAGTTTCATGAGCTGTGTGAGCCTTGAACTAGAAAGTGCTTGTTTATGAAATCCGTTTTCTCAGTTCTGCTAAATCCATAGGATTATCAATTGCGAAACAATATAGAAGCAGGAGTCTTTTTTTGTCTAATAAAAGAAAAGATACATGTTAAAGTATGAATATAAAAAAAAACCTTTTAGAGACAACCTTGTCTATCTGATAAATAAAAAACAAAGACACTTTTCCAGTTCAACTGGGATATTTTCAAAGACCACAGAAACAGAGATGTGAACAGAACCATACCTTGCATCCCAGTAGGGCCAAACCCTTGCCTAGTGAGAAATATGGCATGGTCATGGTGCTCTGAGTGTTGTGGGTCTGCTTTCTGCTGCACAAAAGCCCAGCGACAGACATTCTCCAAGCTCCTTGATGGGTTCCCTCTTTCAATTAAGCTGATGGACTGACAAAACAATTGCATCAGTTGGGTATGTTGTTTACAGCAGCTAACACAGACAGAATTTCAAACGTTGGACTTTGCTCTTTTCCTGAAACTCAGAGTGAGAAATACTGTATATTGCAGATATGAAATAGCTAGGGTCTTTCTTTTCTTTTTTTAATAGGAATGTAGATGACTTTAAGGCATAAAAACTCCATAGACTCGTGTGTGTTTTTATAACTGTGTTTTAAACTTTAATCAATAAATATAATTGTCAAAGAGAAAACATGTTTTGCAATCTCAAAAAAACAGAAGTATATTAAATACACAAGTTAAAGGTACAGATAAAAAGACCACCATCTATGCATGTGCAGTTTATTGAAATAAATGTATGACAGTACTATTTAGTGTTTTCCATAAGGTACTCTATTAATCTGTTTTATCTTTTGTAAGCACTGAAAAAAAAAAGCTCTGAAATACTTTGCATAACAGATGGTTAATTACAGTACATTAATGCGTAGGGCTATATTATTATACTAGCTTACCTTTGCATACCCCAGCATAATCATTCTCACCAGAACCACATTTATATGGACGCCTAAGGAATCATCATGGTAAATTTCATTAACCTAAAAAAAAACACACAAATAATAATGCATGAAAATTGTTGTACTAAAGAGACAATCTGGTATATTGCATGTGTTATTTGTTAAACTGGAGTTTTAGTGCATCAAGTAAAAAAGAGTATCACAGTAGTTTACTAGTATGAGTAGTTTCTGGCTTTATTGAAGTAAAAACTTAATGTAATTAAGCTAGTAATAATATATTTGAGAAAATTAAAGTGGGTCATAAAATAATTTATCTTCTTTCCCCAGGAGTATACAATAAACTAGTAACGTATTAAAGAACTTTCACTGTTTACACTAGCTTCTCAATATGTTCTTTCACTCTTTGGGCCTACTTCCAGTCTTATTTCTAACTCCTATTACTTGTTTTCTATAGCTTAAAGTTAATTGCTTGCTATTAATACCTTGTAGTTATAAACCTTAGAGGAAAATATTTTAAAATTCTTAAAGTACTTATTTTCTTTTATTTATAAATCAGAGACAATTTTGACAATTGTAGGTTCTGATATTTGTCACCCAGTAGTTATTTATGTAATGTATAAAATCATTTTCCCCTGTTTTTAGGGCTATACCACCTGATACATGTCCATGTCTAAAGACCAGCATCTTCAATGGATGATAAAACAACATATGATGAATATCCAAGTGTCTTTCTTGTGAATTCAACATGCCATCTCTGTCAAAAATGCTTTTTTCAGTTTATTATACCTCAGGAATACAGAAATAAAATAGCATCTAAAAAGCAATGTTATCACTCTCCTGTGTGCAAATCCCAATCTGATGTTCTCTAAGACATATCTCTTGTAATTATACAATTATGATGATCTTCAAATTTAATTATCACAACTTAGGATGTTGAGATTGCACATATAAAAAATAGTAAACTATATATATAACCAAAGGACACTGATGTACAGATCAATAGTGCTAACAGTCCTAAGAAGTGACCAATTTTGTGAGAGGCCTGCAACCTTTAGAAGTTATTTCATTGCAAAGCAACAGTCATCATTTTGCCCAGCATAATGCTTTCTTAGATTTCTTCTGATAATTACCCCTCTGTTCTTCAGCTTAACAAGGTTTTCATTGGAATAATAGAGCAAGAAACGTTGCATCTGTCTACTTGAGTAATGATGGCAATGATTTTGAATGTCAGTGTCCTTGCAGTGTTTGACTGAATGCAACATGACAGTGTGGCACTGCAGTTCTTTCAAGAATTCTCCTGAGTCTCCTTGTGTGAAGTGATAACATCCTCCCAAGAAATATTTCTATTTCTCACGTGGGACAGCATCACACTAGAAAAAGTGTAAAAATGGGCAGTTTGTGTCACTGATGAACTGGATTTTAGAATCCAGGCACAGTGGCATTGTGTTGCTGCATCATATGGGAAAAATGCATGTGATAATGTTGGGGGAACTAGAAAGAGACGCTAGCACATCTTACAAAGACAAAATCATGACACCAGAATCCTGCTTACTTTTGGAAAATAGATTATACTTTGCACAACATTCATACATTCCACAGTGAAAAACTGATATCAGCCTCCATAGTGAGGCTCAGATAGATGAGGCTAAAAGATGTCGCAATATCAAATAGCAAGATGAAAGTTAAAGTATATCCAAACAGCTTGGGATCTGTCTTCAGATGGGTGGCCACTGACGGCTCAGAAAAGCCAGCTGTAGAAGGCATTAGGGTTTTTCCACAATAGAATATGATGGGAAATACAGTATTTGCTTGGTTTTGTGCTGGATCCACAACACTTCTGAAGTGAAATTGAGTAGGCACATTCAGTAAGATCATACTGTGATAGGCAATTATTCGCTCTTTTTCTTTCTAAATTGGGTTTATAATGAAGTATTGGCAATTTCAGCTCACTGCAAAATCTGATTTTAAAGATAGAAACTAAGGCATGAAAGGTCAACTGCCTCTGTAGCACCTTGACAAATGTCTTAAATGTGCATATAATTATACAGATTTATATTTTTATTCTTTAATTCATACATGTTTTGTGGTTTCTGTTTTTAAACACTTCACAGGTTTCGAAAATTGTGCAACAAAACCCTTAGATATTAAAATTTTAAAGACACAGATGACTAAACCACCTATTTTACAGTAAGAAAATGCTTCAAATCCTCATCTATAAGCTCACCAATGGGCAAATTTTAACTTGGACCCCACAAGAGGTTTCAGTCCTTCAAAACAGGGCAATTTGTCTGCGGTAATCAAATCAGACAACTGAGATAGACAGTAGCAGAGTTGCATGAAGCGTACCACAGGGATAGTGATAATCTACTGTACTGTAAATGTTTTTAGACTTTTTTAAAATGACTCCAAAATAAGATGCATGTAACTACACTTCCCTTATATAAGGGGTCTATTTAATCAGATCATCCATTTATTAACTGCTTTAGCCACTACAGGGTCACTGAGGAGCTGGAGCCTTCCCAGTTAAGCAAAGGGTACCAGGCAGTATACACCCTGTATGGGATGCCAGTCCATCACAGGGCATACACAGAACACAGACATAGGCACACACTTACTGTACACCAGGACCAATTTTCCCCAAAACCAGTTAATTTAACAGGACTGTGGCATGAAACCAGCGCACTTAGAAGAGACCCACATGAACACAGGGAGAACATACAAACTCCACACAGTCGTCATCCCAGGAACTGAACCCAGGGCCCATGCTGTGAAGCAGCAAAGCTAAACACTGCCATCATGCCACCCCTCATCATATCACATTTAACAAATATTTATCCTTGTTTCATACCTGACCTCTGTCTTCCATTACACAAGGTATGAACAATAAAATACTGAAGCAATGATTTTCCTGGATTTTGGCTGATTTGACATGGAATTCTACTGTATATTAAACAGCTTTTTGAAATATAAACATAATTGAAATTATTTTAAATGCAAATAAAATTTGTAGATAAAATGTAGGTCTTTTCTCATGCTGGTGCATATTTTTATAATATGTCTGAAAAACACATCCACAGAAAAATTACACTATGAGTCTAATGCATGTCTCAGAGAATTGTTTTAACAATTGATTGGCAGCCACAGTTAAACAGTGGCTGTTTAACAAGCGTGGACAAGCTTGAAGTTATGAAAATAAAGCAGAGCAATTACAAATTTTCCATTAAAAATGAACACGTATTTGTATAAATATATTGATTAAGAAATTAATATAATTATATCCATCAGCCTCTGTGGTACTGTATGCAATTCAAAAGCAGTGCTTAATGGATTTCTTCAACTTGTTACGTCTTCAGAAAGAAAACAATATCCCCAGCATAAAGGAAAATGTTTTCAATTAAATTATCTTCTCAAAGTTTGAATGACACTTCCAGGGGTTTCTAAAGCAATAAAAAGCTTCTGACTTAAGAATAATACACGATTAAATGAACCATGTGAAGACCATTTGTATAGTCTTAACCTACTAACCTAATACTTCTTCAAATCACCATACTGCCACACCGCAGAGTTCAAAATTCCACCAGCTTTTTTGAATAAAAATGTTTGATGTTGAACCAAAGTTTGGAATGGAGGATTGTTTCACTGTCATAGAGCTAATACTTTATCACAATTAATATCTGTTCACATCTCTTTTTTTACTTACACATCTATCCTTAAGCCTACAGCAGCGATTTGTCCAAAAATCAATACCCAAATCATGTTGTACTTTTATCCACCCCAGGAAAAAAACTGTCAAGATTGTTTATACACTTTTTCATATCCTAGAATGATCTTTTCCTCAGATATAACTTTCTGACTTTTGTTTTTGCTGAAGAAACTACTAGCTTTATATTAGATGTTTCTGGTATAAAGCTATACTATTCCTGTGATTTCTCTGTTTATTTCACAATACAGCTGTAATTGCAAAATAACACAGCCGGGCTGCCTTTTAGACCACAAAGACGATACCCCAAGCATATACTGTTAGTCTCTAAGCATGAATACAATACAAGAGGCAGCAGATGTGCACAGAAAATTTGTAGAACACATCTGCACACTATTATATTCTGGATCTACTGTATTTCTATTTCCAAAGCTGTGGTTGGTGTACACATGTATTAATCCACTCCTTCAAGGCAAAGAAAAACAATGCCATATGGCTTTTTCCGACTGACACTTCATTGCCATCCACTGTAGAGAGACCTTTACACAAGACTAAGTACAATGTTTATGATCTTTCTTTTTGTTTTTGAAAGGCCAAACAGGATATCATCGCCTAAAACCTTTGAATTCTGTTATTGATTAACAGCATGATAAGCACTGCTGAGATTATCCTGTATTGAGGCTAATTAATGGGCACTGCTTTCATATGCTGTCAATATCAGAATTAGCTGCTTTGATTAGTGGGTCCATACTCTTCAAAAGCCTCTTAAGTAACATTTAATTTGAAAGTCTTCTTTCTTGATATTTTATATGAAAGTAAAGTTCTTTGAGAAGAAGCATATACTGTACACTACCTGACTTTAATTTTTTATTTAAATATAATGAAAAACACATTTGCCACATGACAATAAAGGATTAAAATAATTTTTATTTTGGCTAGTTTCAACTTTAATTAAGGGAAGATGGTAATGAAAATGTGTATTTAATGAAGAAAAATCCCTATGTCAACATGTTAATTGCCAGTGTCAACAAAAGTAAGTTATTACTAATGACTGTACTAATCTGTGTCAGATGAATACAATGAAATGAAATCTAAACATTCATTTTAAACACTGTTGTAGTTCAGAAATTATTAACTTTCTTCTCTGCTACGTTACAAAAAGAATGACTGAAAGCATTTCACTTAACATTTGGCAAAGTCATTAACTACATTCCAGAGCTGTCAGAAAGCCTAAAGTGAATACGTCAGCACATTACAAATAATATTTATCATACTACTACTATCTTGAAACACAGACTGTCCCCTAGGAAAATAGTGTATATAATTTAATCTACATTTTTTATGTTTTTATTACAAATAGCACACTGGGCACTTTGACATAAAGTAGGTTGTTACTGCAGAGTTCATACAAGCTCAAATAAAATAAACTCTATATAGAAATCCTACTAGTACTAATGATAATGTTGATCGGTGCAAACGTGTGTGCAATACAGTAGTTACTAGATGCACTGATGTCTACCAGCTCAAACCCTTCAGAAGACAGCAGATGACAGTACATTTTTCTTTCTTTAGCTCTCCAGGGAAGAGAATTAGGTTGGAAGTCAAGGATTAAAAAATATACTCAGTCAGTACTTCTCTTTCAGTTATCCAGGTAATAAAAGGCTTATTCAGACACACAATAAAATAGTCCAGTGTTACACAGAAATGCAGAGTACCCAAATTTTAAGCATGTATCAAAGTTTTAAAGATGGTTGGTCCAGAACTAATAATAAAGAAAAATCATTCATACAAAATGGACACTTCTGCTATTTGAGGATGTATGATAAATTATAATGGCTCCATTGGATTTTGATAAGAAGTTTTGCTTCTTAGAAGTATGTTTTTAATTACAATGTAGTAATCTTGATTTTTTTCTGAATATGTATTACTATCACAATCAAATTAAAATATATCTATGGATATTTAATTTCCCTTTGACATATAACAAGATATTCTTAATACATTTTACATATTTGTATTGCATTCTATTTAAATGATTATCAATGAGTACTTTATCAAAATTTTTGTTGCTGTAAAATACTATACCTTCCCATTCCAAGGCTTATAATTATCCACAAAGAATGGTTCACATATGTAAAATGAATTCCCCTGTAATGTTTGAATTCCTAATGTATAGGAAAATATACTGTACATATTATGTTGAAAAATTAAATTGCTGTTTTTTTTTCCCCATTTAAATCAAAGCATGTCCTGTCTCTTTTCTAACATTTTTCAATAGGCAATCAGTGACACCTGCTGGATATGTACAGGAATGTCTCAATATATGTGCAGTTTATCAACCTGTCAACATATACAGTATCAATAGATATTCTTGTTCAGTTAATTTAAATATTTTAGGTTAATGAGTATGCACTGCTTACAAAAATAGTCAAATTTTCAGATTAAGAAGTGGTTACAGAGGTTACCATTGCTGCCTCACAGCACCAGGGTCCTGGGTTCAATTCTGGACCTGGGGTGCTATCTGCATGGAGCTTGTATGATCTCTGTGTGTTTGTATTGGCTTCCTCCAGTGTGTGTACATCTGTGTTTGTCTGTGCCTGTGTGTATTCCAAAATGGAATCCCATCCAAGGTGTATCCTGCCTTGTGCCCACTGCTTGCCAGGACAGGTTTCGGCTCTCCTGTAACCCAGTATTGGACAAAGAGATTACAAAGCGTTGCTAGGAGGTGGCCCCATCTGCAATTCTCATGTCTGCAGCTGCTGCCTTACTGTATATGTGAAATCAGGAAGTGACAATCAACTTGCAACTCTTTACTCAGCCTCTTCATTCACCTGAGTGTGCAGAACACACAGCCTTAATTTTGTATCTACCTCTATACATATCTAAATATCAATAACAAAAAAAACAATACCGGTAAACATGAGTAAGACTTGAATGAATTCTTGTGCAAAATATCTCAGGTAAAAGTAAAACATACATAATATAAATTAACCCAATGGTAAACATTTTGCAGAAGACTAATTTTCTTAATATGAGATCCCATTTGCATTTCAATATTTATTAAAAAATGAAGAAACTAATTTATTTATGACTCCTGAGTTCTCCTTTTGACAGGCTGCTCTGAGGGCTGCCATGAAAAACTAAGGCAAAGGTTCTCAAACAGTGCGTCACAGCTAGTGTCAAGACGAGAAGCACAAAAGATAACCCAAGCTGTACTATTGACACTTTGAAACAAATGAGAAAGAAGCAGGTTTTGTAGTTACAAACATGGGTTAATATAACTCACATCTACATAAAATATCCAACAGGAAAACGGTCACTCTTTTTAATAAAATGTACACCTAGTTATAGTACCTTCTTCCTACTTTTAGGGAGATCAAATTGCACATCATTCTTTAAAGTGGAAGTTTACAAGCTAAAATTGTAACCATGATTACAGGGAAGCCCCAATCTCAAAGAAAAAAAATATTTTCACAATTTTATGACATACTTCAGAAACAAAACAGAAAAAGAGGTACAAATGTCCGGAGCATATTGGATTTTGAACACAGAACTTTCAAAACTTTAAAACCAAACTCTATATTATTTAAGTAAATATTTATTCAGACATCGACTTACTAATTCATTAAGCATACAAATTTAAGTTCAGTCACTCATTCTGTAGATATCATCGTAGTTATTTTGAGTAGAGTCAACAAAAAGAGACTATGAAATATTTATACTGTCATTCACCAGAGCTGTGGTTGCATTTTCAAAAAGCTGACACATTATAATTGTTTAGATATACTGTACTGTATGTCCCTAGTTATAGAAAACATTGAATTCAAAACAAAATCAGCTTGCAATTAAATATCAAACATATAGTGCGTTAATCTTCAATTCACTGGTGTATCTATTTAATGTTATGAGTACAATTTTCATCTTCATTTTATAGTGCTCATACCCTATATACTGTATTTATATTTATTATATTTCCTCTATAGCTTGGTAATAGCTAGTCTGCATCAGTACATTTTGTGGTTAACCAAAACGCGTGCCTTTGCAAAGGTGATTTGAAACAGAAAATGACTGTACAATTAATAAACAGTCTGAAATGTAAGGTAGGTTAAAATAGGTTTTCATTTTAATGAATTGATTCGATGTTAAACAACTAACCAACTCAATGATACACATTATTGATATACTACTTGAAAGTCCAAAATTGCGCAGCATGGTTAATCGTGATTTTCTCAGCCCCAAGGGCTGCCAATTCACCAAGGTAAATTAAAAAACAACAACAACAACAACAACAACAACAACTTCAGGTCTTTCTGGATTCTTCATAAATGATGGAAGTTAAATTGCAATTACACTGCAATTAGGTTTAAAATTTAGTCAATTAAACCTTTATGATCTCTGTTTATGAGACAGCTGTGTTTCTAATATTTTTTTAAAATTAGAATGTTGCCTGATTAGAATATGACAACCCAAATCTGTTACATATTAAAGAGAAGAGAACAGGGGCTTGGAAAAAGTGCTATCAGCCTAAGGATATATTCAATGAGAATTGAAGGCTATTGTCTGACTTACTCTCATTGTCTGACAATACTAAATATCGTAAATATTGCAAAGGACAACTTTTGGAATCGCACAAGAATCACATAATTTGGATAGAATTTAAATAATTCCAGCTCTATTAACTATTAATGCACAGAAGACTGGGCATGAAGTTTCCAGCAGGAACTTAGCCTCATAATGCAGCTTTTTACTCACAATGTTCATCAGGGTCAGAAGGTAGTTCTGAACATGTTCTTTTCCATGGAAACGCACAACAGAGTCATCCACGCCCAGGAGCACTTCAATGTTATAGTCGTCATCCCCAGCGTGTCTCCGCCTCCTGAGTGTCTTGTTCACCTGCTTTCCAATGTTTTCCACTGCACCAGTAATGTCAAGTTCTGGCAATGCTGCAAAAACAGGGAGTATTAACCATTGATAGCCCCCACAACATTAGAAATGTTCTTTTTTATTGCAACAGCCTTTGAAGAGTTGTGAATGACAAAAAACTAACAAATAATGAAATTGCTTCAGTCAAATTTAGCTTTACACTAAATGGTAAATTAGCATAAAATAGATCTACAGGCCACAACAATCTGATTAACATGTATCACAAAGACCTTGCTTACTAAACAGTAAAAGCTTAGCCTTTTTGTACCAAATGACCCATGACCCATCCTCCCAGTTTGATTAATTCCATGACTATGCTTTACTACTGCTAAATCTCACTGCTTCACATCTTATGCAGGTGATTGTCTAACTCAGAAGGTTCCTAACTTCTTGTTAATTTTAAAATGCAAACCCTTATGTAAGTATCTTGTATTTGTTAAGGATTCTTTGTAGCACAGTGACAAAGTATGCCAAAAGCTTTCACAATGCCAGAACTCATTCAAATAGGACAAAGGACTCGGTACTGCCTGAATAATCTCCTATATCCCCTCCAAGAGTGTTAAAACGTAGAAGGCCAATATAGAAACTAGTGAACTCAAAAACATCAATGTCAGCAGTTTTTCAGACATTTACAGTATTGAGCCAAACTCCTGCAGACAAACGTTAGTATTGTAATGATATATTAATGATATAGTGGCTAATTATTTTTTGAATATGAGTTATGTACCTCTGATATATAAATAAAAAATGCCTAACCTCTTCAATCATTCTCTACAGTATGGTTAACATACTAAATTCCTCCACATTCTTAAGTTCAGTCATCATGCCAGCATTTTGTCTAAGCATCAGCTCCACATAAATGTCTCTGGGCTCTCACTTCAAAGGGTAGGGCTTTCCTTTAGGTGTTAAATGCTTCCACCAAGTCTTGCCCAGATGCTAAGCCCAAGACAGTGCCACATCTCAGTCCCTGGGTATTACACTCAGGAATGGCAATGTTAACATAGCACACAAGTGGTAAATGTCTTCTAGCTATTTTTCTATAGCTGGGCTGGTTTAGGCATCATAAGAAAGTGGAAATCTACCAGAGGAAATCTCTACCAGGAACCTGTCTTTGCTGCTTTCAGAAAATAAAAAAATGGGCCTTGTATTACAGGTATATGCATTGAGACACACCCTTCCTTGCCAGAGGCAGGTAACCTACTTTACTTATTTTTGCAATCTGTAAAACACAGGAACAATGAATGCTATTTTGGCTTTCTTTTTTCACAATCAGTGTAAATAATTAAAGTAAAACATAGCTCTCCTTGAATGAATATCAAATTCAAATACTAAACTTGGTTAGCAGCATTGTGTTAGAAGCAGGATTATATTTTATGCTTCTGGGTGATCATACTGTATGACACTTCATTAAAATGACTGTAGGCTGATTTTGTTTGATGATTAAAAATATAAATCTTCAACAATTATGCAACACAGATATTTTAAATTCATGTTTTTTATAGTCTACTGACTGTTTTACCTTTATTTGTAATTGGATGATGGCTAACAGGTGACACTGATCAGGAGTACACAAATCTGTCTTGCATTTTATTCTTCCAGTAGCCTAAACTTGCCTCAGGTGTCCATTTGTACACCTTTTTGATCTGCTGAAAAATATTTCTCCATTAAATATCCATGTAATTGTGTACTGTCTGAAACACCAAACAGCGGTGCTTAATGTTTAAAAAGTGTGAAGTGAAACATATGTTGCTCCTAAGCAGGGCTCAGATATCACTGAAAAAGTAGTAATTACAGTTTAAAGGGATATATGTTAGTGGACAATAAACACAGAAAATCAGAAGACCTAATTCTGTATACAAATACTTAAAATCTTTTCTAGAAAATAATCTCTCCCTTCTCATAAACAGGACTATGTAATATAATTGCATTTGTGCATTTTAATATACTGTAAACAATATTTTGCAACCTTTCTATTTCAAATAAATCTGTTAGATTTAAAAGATCAACATATTCTTGGCACATAACCTACTATTATATTTCTCCTAAATTTTCCAAATACCAGGCATTTGTTCCAGTTGATTCCAAGAACAACAACAAAAAATAAGTCTAACTTCTGATGTGCACTTGGCAACACACTTAATAAGAAAAATGTGTCAATATGCTGACCTACTGTAGAACTCAACAGCCCTACAGAAGACTAAACTGAGTACTACAGTCAGTATAGTGATCTCTATTTTCATGTCAGAGTCTTAATTAGTCATTAAAAATGTGATACTTATAAATGGATCATCACCCTTATGTACTGTAGTCATTAAGATCATGGATCATATCTTCCCTAAAGCTTAAATGCCCTTGGGCTAAACTACTGCAAAATATAAAATATGTCTGTAGTACTGTAGGTTATATATACTGTAATATATAAAGTATGTACTGTATGTGCAATAAGGAAGATATTTCTGTATCATTAGAAAACTAAATCATATAAGAGAGAGAACCCTGCCTCTTTGGTTGTGGTACTTATCCCTGGTAAGGGGCAGTGCTGCCTGTGACTTGTTAAAAGACATGTGGCCCGAAGGTGGGCATGTTGGAGGGGCCTGTGCACAGGTCCTCATTCTCCTCTGTGTGTTTGACTGCAGAGCTTGTAGCAGCTAACTCAGACATGAGACATCTACTTCAGACCTGGTGCGCATAGCAAAAATAACTAGGGGAAAAAACAACTCCACAAGGTGGATGATATACGTTCTGTCTTAAAACGTCTTGATCTCCAAAAAAAGAAGATATACTGTAGCTAGATACAATATATTGAAAAGGTTTGAGTGGGGAGCTGCATCAGTGTGTGTTAGCTCTGAAGGAACAAGTAAGGGTTAATTCCATGCTGAAAAATAGAAGAGAAACACATTTCAGCTGTAGAGTCTTTCCGACTTTTGCCAGTAAAGGCTTATACATACACACAAACACCATCTAGTGGTTATTAGGAAAGGAATCACTTGCATTATTTTGTATGATAATTATATTTGGTGATATTTGATGATAATGAAATTAGATAATCATTGATGCCTCTTAATGAAAATACAAGACAAATGTTGTCCACATACAGCCACAAACAGTTTTTAGCTGAAAAATTGGCAACCCTACCCTATAGAAAGCCAGGCAGCTAAATTGCTCAATACAGAACTCTTCCAAAACTCACAATTTCCACAGGTTCATAAGTCTGTCACTTCTTTGCTTATTACTGTTCTGGTATAGGACATCTTTACAAGCTCTGCTCTATTCCTAGAGAGCAGAGGTTAACAGCCAACTGTAAGCCTCTGCTATCTGCTTTCAAATGTCACTCCATCAATGGTCTTCCACTGATTGAGAATGGCAGATCTTTTCCCCGACTTTACAGGGGTATGTGATTCTAACAAAATGACCTGCCTTGTAATTTTCATACTTTGCTACACTGTTTACAACTACAACACACATCATTTCATAAGTGATTCCTGTTTCCATATCAGGGTTTCCAAACAAGTGAGGACACATAAAGTCTTAACATACTCTTCTTTCTATGCTGCCATTCAATCCATAACATTGTTATTGCTACAACGCTTTACTGTAGAACTGTATGACAATGGAACTGTTGGGAAACTGTCAACACAGCTTACAGATAAAGATATTCATTTTGAGTCATCAGGAAAGGTTAAGCAATGCAAATTATAGCATACCAAGCACGGCATGCTTCAAATAGCTTGCATTAGGATACAATGCTGACATTATGGTTTGTCTACTGTAACACGATAGTTTGCAACTCTTATGTAGACTAGTATACCATAATTCTAATATAGAATTATATTTGTCTAAAAGAATCTACCTCAGCATTGCTTCTCGAGCTAGGAACTAATGAGCTAGAGATAGAAAGGATTTTAACTTGTTTTTTTTTAAGATGGTTTTTCTTCACATAAAACTGCAGGTTAATGACTTGCACTTTGATGTCTGAGGGAAGCCTTTCTAATCCCCTTTTCCAACTGAGTTAGAAATTAGCAGACGCCTCAGCAACCCTATAATGAACAGGATACTGTATATACAATGATGGAAAAGCTGTTGTATGTGGCAGCTCACATTAAAGACCTGTTTAATCAATTCCACATTGCTCTCAAGGATGTATAGGAAACACAACTGGTAGAACCCATACTGTACCCAGACAGTTTTACAAATAATTTGGATTTGCAGCTATGCTTGTAAATGACAGTCAAGCTGAGGCAGCTGCTGCTTGGTCTTCTGTGAAACTGTACAAGCCAACACATACACAAACTTAATATTTCTAAAGAAATCTGAAGCGACTTATCCATTTAAAAAATGTATTAAAAACTATGAGAAATCGTAATTAAAACGGATATAGTTTCATTCTGTATCTATTCACCTTGGAAAGTAGGTCACACTGCTGAAAACACTTCTCACTAAACACTTGCATTTACTGTATAGTACTAAGAGGCTTTTGTTGGAGCAAATTCTTTGAAGAATTCCAACAGGCTTAAATGACACAACCATACGATTTTGCCAGCAGGGGTTGCCAGTGTTACTAAACATCTCATAAACATTGGGTATGATGCAAGTTTTAATTTTTAAAATTCAAATTAATTAAAAATGAATATAAATTTGCATGTATAATAATGGATATTGCATATGCAAAAATATAGTACCTTTTTAATTGTAAATGACAACCGATTTTAGCATCCAGCATCTGTCATTTCCTTATTAATACAAGAAGATAATTTCTGGTGGGCATCTAATATCCTACAAGAACTGCATTAACAAATTAGACACATTTAAAAAATGTGCCTTCATATATTGATAGAATGTAAAGTAATTAAATATAATGAAAAATCAAGAATTAAAGCTCAGTTCATTTCACAGAAACGAGCCAATCTTTGTCATATTTTAAAAATGGATCAAAGACTACCCAACCTGAAAAAGAATTGAAAAAATGCAATGGAAAAGTGTTATAGAAAAATTGCTTACACTTACAGTATATAGTGCTTTT